TGACAAAGGAACAGTTAGGTTTGAGGTTTTGGTTGGGACTTTTTGTAGCCATGGAACTGCTAGTATAATTTTTATCCCTTTATTTGAAAAAACAGGTGAAGTTCAAAAAGCGTCTCCCTGCACTCTCAGGTAAGGATTCGATAACTGAAGAATTTGCATTAATTATAATTTTCAACCAAATGCAATATGCTTAGTCTACCACTGTGCCTCTGCTGGCTCAGATGAGGCTAGTCCAACTCTGCCAACAACTGCCACTGACAGCTAAAAGTTGAAAGAGTGGTAGAAAATGAAATGGGAAAAGGTAGCAGACAGGGAATGATGAAACTAGAAGGAATAGGTGGCATGTAAAGTGAGGATTTCACCAGGTGCTAGTGGCTCACAGCTGTAATCCTAGTTACTCAGAAGGCTGAGGTCTGACAGGGATCACAGTTAAAAGCCAGCCTGGGCAGAAAAGTCCCCATGAGATTCTTATCTTCAATTAACCACTCAAAATCCAGAAGTGCTGCTGTGGCTCAAAGTGGTAGAGTGCTAGCCTTGAGCAAAAGAGCTCAGGGACAGTGCCCAGATGCTGAGTTCAAGCCCCACACTTGACAAAACAAATAAAAGCAAAGTGAGGACATCAATGGAGGATTTTCAAGTGTCCACATCTTCTTCATCTCATCTGTTGTTATTGACCCATTCTCATTGCCCCATAAGTCAAATGATAATGAAGACAGCCACAAATCTCTTCCTCTACCTCCTCTCATGGTGGACCAAGCATTGATGGGACCTAGCTGATTTAAAGAGTGAATGAAAGTATGCTAAGAGTCATTTCCCCTAGTACAAAATATATGATTCACCTTCCTGAAGTCAAAAGCAAAACTTCCTGATTGAGGGCATTCCTTTGGGTCAAAACATTGAATCCCTATTAAAATGACAACTATGTAATCTAAAAAGAGGAAAATAGCTATTTTTTAATAATGCTGCAATGAACATAGTTGTGCTGGTAGATTTAGTGTGGCCTTGTTTATGATCACCTAGGTAAATGCCCTGGGGTGGGATTGCTAGATTGTAGAGGAGCTCTATGTTTAGTCTTTTGAGGAGCCTCCATACTGCCTTTCAGCCTTTCAGAGTGGTTGAACCAGTTTATATTCCCACCAACTGTGTAGTAGCATTCCCTTTTGGCCACACTTCCACCAGCATCTGTTATTATTTCTTTTCTTGATAATGACCATTCTAACTGGGGTGAAGTAGAATCTCAATGTTGTTTTGATTTGCACTTCTTTTATGGACAGAGCTGTTGAACATTTCTTCATGTGTCTATTGACTATTGTAATTTCCTCTTCATATTACTTTAGCCTAATTATTGATGGGATGGTTGTTTGTTCAAGTATTTGTTTTGGGGGATTTAATTTTTTGAGCTCTAAGTATATTTTAGATGTCTGTTGAACAGCTAGTGAAGATATCCAAATCTGTGGCCTTTCTATTTATCTTGCCAGCTATGCCCTTTGCCATGTAGCAACTCTGCAGTTTAATGTTATCCCATTTATGCACCCTTTCTTTGATTTTTTGTGTTTCTGGATCTTTATTTAGGAAGTTTCAACCTCTGCCAAGGAGCCCTAGTGCATCCCCTATCTCTTCCTGTAATATTTTTGGGGTATTTGTTCTTATTTCGGGGTCTTTGATCCATTTGGAGTTGATTCTGGGAAGGTACAAGGTGATATATAAAGATCTAACTTCAATCCAGATGCCCCTCAGTAGATGAATGGAAAAAGAAAATATGGTATATATGTATATAATGGAATCCTATGCTTTCATCAGAAAGAATGATTTTGCCCCATTCTTAAGGGAATGGAAAGACTTGGAAAAAAATCATATTAAATGAAGTAAGCCAGATCACAAAACACATAAGCTCCATGGTTTCCTTCTTTTGTAGTAATTAGCATATGTCTAGGATAGTCCTAGCAGAGGATCACAATAGCTCAATATCTATGTACATATGATCATATAAAATGATACTAATTGAAATGAACTCCAAGAAATGGAAACAAGAGAGATTTTTGGGTTTTGGTGTTTTCTTTAAATGTATCTTCATTCTTTTTTTTCCCTTTGGTTTATTCTCTGTTGTCACTGTTTTTTATTTTTTAATTTTGGTACAGTGTCTTGTATATATGTTTATCTGATTTGGGGAATGGAAGGGGAATAACAAAATTGTGAGACAAAGGATAAACAGTGAACCAATACAAGGGCGATACTCATAAGACACTATGTTGGAAATGAACTTTACAACTTTGGAGGGGGGAGCCGGGGCAGAGGGAAAGTGGGAGAAAACGAGGGAGGGGGTAACACTGTTAGACAAGAAATGTACTCATTACCTTACTTGTATAACTGTAACCTCTCTCTACATCATCTTTACAATAAAATCAAATAAAATTTAAAATAAATAAAAAGAGGAATATATAGTGCCTGGCACAGGGATGAAGCTCTCTGAGTGTAAGCATTTTAAACATCCAGTCAGCTATGCCTGCCATTAGAATATAGTAAAAGTTCATTTTTCTCATCTGTCTCCTGAGGCTCTTGAGGAGCTACAATGGGAAAGTTTTAATGGAGAATATGGGCAAAGACTTGGCACTGATTCTGAAGTTAAGGGCTTGATGGTGAGAAGAGACAGTGGCAGCATGAAGAGTTTTGAGAAGAGAATCCTTTTAAAAGCTCAGAAAGAAAAGGGAAACAAGTTTGGAAATAAACATTCAGTGTTTCTTTTATGAAACAATACTGAATTAGATGCTTTTAAATGAATTGTTTTACAAACTTTACAACTTTGGTGGGGGGCGCTGGGGGGGCAGGATGGGAAAGAATGGGAAGGAGAAACAAAAGAGGAGGCTACAATCCTTGATAAGAAATGTATTCATTATCTTGCCCATGTAATTGTAACCCCTCTGTACAGTATTTTCACAATAAAAAAATAGTTTTATTTAGTGTTCACAATCATCTCAAAGAAATGCTATTCCCACTTGAAAGATGAGAAAACTGAGAAGCAGGAGGTTAACAAATTTGTTCAAGGCCACACACTACTTATTTGTGATAAAATTTAGATTTGAATGGGAACATGTCTCCTAAGCTATGTTGCTGGATGATGTTCTCTTTCTCCATATTTGTAAAGCTCCTTCTACTTGTCAAATGAATCTTTGGTTCCTAGGTTTCTCCCTCACTTCTAGCCATGGACTGTCATGAAAAAGACAAAAGATTTCTGTGGGTGATGTAATTAGAAAGAGATTATGCATTATTGGAATGAACAGCAATGGAAGAAGAGCTTATATTTTCTGGTTGCCACAGGGATTCGAACCCCTTTATTCTTGCCTTGAGCCTATATCTTGCAAAGGTAAAAGCTCTGGAGTAACCAAAATCAATATACTAACTGGGTCTCTGGGTCCCTGTCCCCTGTCCTTCTGGCCTTTAACACTGACATCAACATTCATTGACCATTTAAACCAGGACAAGAGAATAAGAAAAGGAGAATAAAAGGAATAGGGAGGAGAAAATGCAGGCCTTACAGAGTAGCTACAGAGTAAGAGGAAAAGTTAGGAAATAAAAATTTCCCCCCTCTCACGACAGGAGAATGGGGCTATAGAAAAGAATTTAGTTGGGCACGTTCATACATTGCATGATTTGCAGGAGACCACTCTTCACTGAGGTCCATGCTGGACTATATGATTTCATAGGTACTTGCCTCCTCCTCTCAGAACAGAGTTGGAGAGAGCAGATTACCTCTGTAGTCCTCACTCAAGCGCCTAGGCTATTTCATCCAGTTGGAAACACCAAGGGAGCAAAGCATAAAGGGACAGTTTCCTCCAATCTTAACTTTGAATCCCCACCCCCATCCCAGCTCATTCTTACACTTCTCTCCTAGGTCAGCGGCTGGACTGAGCGTCCATTTCATTAACCTTTTAGTTACCACTTCCAGGCACATACTTTTTATCCCCTTATCCTCCCAAGCAGCCATCAAAGCTTTGCCCCTGACAGATGCAAACCACTTCAGCATTTGAATGGTGGGGGGAGGGACACACCTCCCAAAGCTGCTGGGAACCCAGTGGGGGTTGTTCGCTGGCCCTGGCATCTCTGCTGTAAAAACTGAGCGGCGGAGACCGGGCATGCGCAGCATCTTTGGGCGCATTGTGATGGGAACTGTTTGTCCGAGTCTCTTTACAAAGACTCAGGAGTAAGCACTAACCCCCTACCCCCAGACCCTCGTCTTCAAATACACAAAGGCAGAGGTAATGCAGCTTTAAAAAAAATGGGGACTGGCCTCAGTTTGAAAGCCTGGTCCTCTCGAGAACTGGTGTATTTCCATTGATCCCATCTCCGGTGTTGACAAACGCCAGCGCCTAGGCTTTGCAGTCGGGGCTGCAGTTTGCAGAGGAGCTAGCGGTGTGCTGCTTTAATTCCACGTCAGATCAACTTTGATCAATATCCCCCTACCGGCCCAATTGGGAGAGCCCAATTCACCAGTGCAGAGCCTTTTTGCTCTTTCCTTCTTTCCCCTCTCTTTTACCCACCATCTTCAGGGAAGGGTGCTCTTGGGTTTTCTAATTTCTTTCTGTCTCTCCTTTGATTTTTTTTAGTGTTTGTTTTGTGTCTTAGTGCTCTCTCTCTCTCTCTCTCTCTCTCTCTCTCTCTCTCTCTCTCTCTCTCTCTCTCTCTCTCTCTCTCGCTCTCTCTCCCTCTCTCTCTCTCTCTCGTCACCCCCCTCTCAAAAATCGCTTTGGCAAACCCAGCTTGCAACCAATGAACCCGCCTTCCAGATTGGTGTGAAGAAGTGAGGTGGGGGCGGGGAGGGGGTGTGAGAGATCCTGGGGGAGGGAGAGAACGGAGGGAGATAGAGAGCGCGCTAGAGAGCGCAAGGGAGAAGAGAGGGAGAGAGAGAGAGAAGAGGAGGTGGCGGAGGAGGAGGACTACTGTGGGGTGGAAAGGAAGAGTGAGCGAGAGCAAGTTGAGGGGAGGGGGTGTAAGAGCCGGTGAATTCTTTTTCTTTTTCTAGTATTATTTTGACGACTCCCGAGTTGTGCCCATGCTCTTGTCAGCTTCGTTTTAGGCAAAGCATGGCCAGACAGAAGAAAATGGGGCAAAACGTGCTCCGGGCGGTCTTCTTTTTAGTCCTGGGGCTTTTGGGTCATTCTCACGGAGGATTCCCCAACACCATCAGCATAGGTAAGCGCCAGCAAGCCAGCCAGTGGGGCCAGGCTCTTCTGCACCTGAGACCACTGCCCAGGCTGCGCTGGTCCCTGTACTGCATGGCCTGGGGATGGAGAATGGGCAGAGGTTGTAGAGGGGATATGAGCCCCAAGTAGAGGGCTAGTCTGGGGAGTGTTGGGGGTGGGAGAAAGGGTCTCCTGGGACTAATGCGGGTGGTCTGCTGGGTTTCCCCAGCTGACAGGACCATCGAAGTCCAGCCAGAGGCTGGGATGCTGCGGGCGCGGGGGTGGGGGTGGTAAAGAGTCGCGGCTTTTCAGCTCGCTGCTCTGGACTTTGCCATGGTTTTCGTGCAGCCACTGGAAGTTGTCCCAGGGTGATGCTATCTGTCTGGCTGCATCAGGGAGCCTAACCCTGGCCAGGGGCTTCCTGTCCCGTGTCTGTAGCTTCTGTGACACAGGGTAGTATTAGAGGAGATGGATCCTACTTTAGATCCGCCAGATCTAAGCAGCAGTGGGGTCGGTGGCTGGAGGATGGGGTAGGACGTGGGGGTGAGACCAGGAGAAGAGTGAGCTAGCAAGCAGCAAAGTCACGCACACCACAAATTCATGAATTGCTGCTATGTCTGTTTGGAGCCTGGCTTCTGGGAACTGGAAGGGAGTTTTCTTTACTGCTGTCTGTATTTACAAGTAGAGAAGTTAGAAATGTTGCCATTACTGAACTAATCCCCGAATTGTCATGGTGGAGTGTGGCTAATGGGGAGAGGAGATGGGGCAGCAAGAGGAATGAAATTTGTTTTTCTTCCCCACCTACCCTTTTACCCTGGGAAAAGATGAACCAGCTTGGGGGGTGGGGGGCGTGGAGATGAAAAAGGCTACTGCCTAAGAAAGAACCAAGTCCTACTTGGTTCTGTCACTCTGACCCAAAGCAGCCCAGGCTTCGCTTTTTGTCTCCCCCCCCCCCCCCCCCCGCGCCCCAGCCTCTTCAGTCTAGAAAAGGCAGGCTTTACTTGGCTAAAATCTGAGTTCCTAAGTCTTGAAGAAAGACACACAGGTTGAAAATTCTATCCTCGGTCGAGCATCTCTAGTAACACTGAGAGATATCTGGTATTTAATGTTCCCAATTTCTAACTTGTCCTAGGGTGGAGGGGGGTACACCAAGCCAAATCTCGGTTCCCTTTGCTTATAGGTGGACTTTTCATGAGGAACACAGTGCAGGAGCACAGCGCTTTCCGCTTTGCCGTGCAGTTATACAACACCAACCAGAACACAACTGAGAAGCCCTTCCATTTGAATTACCATGTTGATCACTTGGATTCTTCCAATAGTTTTTCTGTGACTAACGCTTGTAAGTAGATCTGCTATTCTTCCCTTTGGGACCTTGGGGACCTCATTTGCATTTTGCTTGTGATGGTCGGGGTCTGTCTGTGTGCTAGGGGGTGATTGTTTCAACAGACATAATATTCTAGTCAATCCTAGCTTCTCATTGCATAAATCAACCCCGGAGGAGCCTGCCTTGGGGCTGAAGACAGTGGGCAAAACTCAAAGTGGTGAGCAAAACTCTGTGGTGAATAATGTTTGATGCAAAACTTTCATTTTCTTCCCTGCCAAACTGGCGTTCCCTCCCCCGCACTCTTTTTAGCTGAGAAAAAAAAAAGAGAGAAAGAAAGAAAAATAGCATGGTTGTTCAGGGAAATTTCTTCAGATGGGATCTTTAAAAGAAGAAACAGCAGCTTCTTGATTGAGTCAATTCAGGATGTACATTACTTAAGTGTTAAAGCTGGGTGCCTAGCAGTAGCAATAGCTGAATTTGACAACTGCTTAATGTGTAGGAAGCAAATATGAGAATCCTGCAAACAAGTGACCTTGAGGGACAGATTAGACTGGGTTCCCTGGCCTCTTTCTGTCCTAGAATATCACCTTTCATACTGAGAGAGCTCTGATAGGAACTGAGAAGACTCCAAACTGATTCTAAGTGATGAATAGCTAGCAAACTGAGAATAGGTAGAAGAGGGTGCTCAGGTAAATTTGGGAAAGCTGGTTCTGTCTGCCCTGGTGTTGTTTACCCCAAAGACATTTAAATACAACTCTGATCTTAATTTAGAGCAAGAGGTTAGTGGGGGAATAGTGGAGGAGTGGTGGCAGGAAAACCACATATCAAAATGAAGAATTTCATCAGCCCTAAAGTCATCTCCAAAATCCATCGTTGTGCTAGCAATTATTCCCCTGCAAAGGGAATATTTTAAGCAGTTTAAACACAAGAACCTAGTTAGTTAATAGCCTGTTGGACACAAGGTTTTACTTGAATGGAATATTTTGTGAGAAAGACCAAGAATTCTTCGTCTAAGATTATTTCATTAAAAGTGTCACAACATTGAGACCAATGATGGCATCATGTGATGTTTCAATGGCTGGTGTAGTTTTGATTTGTTTTTCTTTTTTTTTTTTCTTTCAAAGGAAAAACGTTTGGTGGAATTAACCTTTCATCCATCTTTATTCAAACCCTCTGGGTCAAAAGATGGAATTTCCAAAAATTGATGGAAGGGTCCCCAAGGACACAATTTCTTTGAATTTGAAGATTTGCACCAAGGGGGTGGGGGTGAAGTACCTTGCAAGAAATGTGACAGTTATCATCTTTCAGAAAATTTTAGCTGAAGGTGCAGATTCATTTATGAACATACTCTGAAATAGTCGGTATCTGACATTCTTGGTCTTTCTGACATTGACAAAAATAGGAAATTATTAATTCTAGCTAAGTGTGAAAGTTGCAAAATGTCTGGCTATCCTTTGCATCTTATTTCAGTAATCCCAGACTGTCTCCACAGCATTTACAACACACATCTGACTCTTAATCCCACAGCACTGTGATCTCTCAAGAGGCTGAATCTCAAAATACAGCTTCTTAAATATCAATTAGAACAGATTTAAAACCAAATACATAAAACGATTAGGGTTTATTATCATTAATACCAAATAGCATTTATTTCAACTTCCTTCACTGTCTTTCTCATTGATGAGGACTGGGATAAGAGAGCCATTTGGCTTCTCAGGAATGATGAATTTCCAAGGCTTTTGGTCCTGTTCTTAAGGCCAAACCAAATTGATACCTGCCAGCGTAGGGCCATCAAAACCCTATGCAAGTAGCAGTCAGGAAATGATCCTTGACATGTGAAAGTTTCAAGTTTGGGAACAGGTGATAACTCATCCACATTGGTGTTGTCTTAATATTTTACCTCTTGGGGCAATAAAGGAACAACCATGGGGGTGGGAAGCAATTGATCAAAATCTCTCATCCTAAATACACAGCACCATTATTTACAAAAGTCTAGGGACTTAAGAGTGTGGGAGAAGGGTTGTGGCTAACTTGATAACAAGGAAAACAAAATCAAAAGGTTACTTTGCCCTTGGTTATGTCAAATGCACACATCTCAATGTGTGCATTGAGCTAATACCATACATGGAATAATGCATTCAGTTGCCTGCGCATCCTCAGATGTTACAGCTCAGAAGACAAGTGAGGAAAGCTGTCATTTTCTTCGACCCCTCAAAACATTAATGTCTGAATACCACAATCATTGAATAAAGACCAGATCTCAAAATTGTCTCCTGGCAGTTGCTGTCTGGTCTGAGAAAGAGGACTGGTCCAATAACAGTCCCTGAATGAAGAAACTAATAGTTTCAAGGGGCAAGGGAAACCCCAGAGGTATCTGATTTCTATCTCTGGCTTCAATTGTTCTTTTTTCTTATGGATGGAGGGACCGTGCTTAGTACTGGAACCTAGAAAGTGACCTCATATTCCATTCCTCTAAGTGACTACATTATTGTACAAAGGAAAATCTTCTCTACCCTCTACCCTGCTCTTCCTTGGAAACCTAGGACAAATTTGAGAAGATCCAAGATCAGTTTATGTATGGTACAATATGGAATGCACTGTTGAAAATTAAGAAAGTTTCCACTGTTGCCATGCAAAAATGTCCACATTCAGCTTTCTCTAACACTAGAGTTGATATCCTCTGATGATCTTTACTGCATTCTCAATTCTAAGCCAGGCACATACTTTCTAAGGTTTAGGCATACAGACAAGCTGATAGACAAAGAATGAGCAAATAATAATACCCTCAGTATGTTCCCCCGCCCTTTATTTTCCTTGTGTATTATTCCTTACCCCCTGCAATGTATTTAGAAGTCTTCCTTACAATGAATCCCAAGCATCAGTTATTAAGACTTTATTAGTAACCTTTTTTTGCACAAACCCCATAAGGCTTGCTTAAGACAGACTCCAACTTTATTCTGTGCCATAAGGGGCCAATAAAAAAAACTCCTTGGCTTTCAAAGGTGTTTCATTTGGAATCTCAGCTCCAAGGTAAATTGAAGTTTATCATAAAGACTCATTTGATTTAGAGTACATGTTCCCATTTCATAGAAATAGAGTTTGCTGTCTTACTTTTCTGTTAAGCTAGATAAATCCAAATAAAAGGATAGGGTGAATATTTTGATTTCAGTATACATGCAGTGGTAAGCATGCATTGGAACTCAGACACACACAATCAGTACATATATGAAGGGATATATACACATTTTAGAAGTCACATATCTATTCTTAAAACAAAACAGATTTCATCATCCTCAGGTCTTCAAGGGTGCAGAAACATCAGGAGACTGCTGGGTCCCATTGCAATGCTTTGCTGCCCTGGCTCCTCAGGAAACACCGCCAATTCCCTTGAAGTCCCCTCCTGTGTCTTGCTGCTATGCACTTGTAGTGCACTCCACACTACACCGCCCCAGCCTCTGCAGTGTCAGCTCATTAGCACACAGATCTCATATTCCCTCTCCGCACTGTCATTGCAAAAATTGCTGTTGTACACCTTTACAGCCAACAAATGTGCTCGTGGATTACGCACTGTTTGCAAGAAGCAGAGAAAAGGCAAATGTAACCTTAAAGGTTATTTACCACGGAATTGTGCTCTAAACACATTGGCTTAAATAAAAAAATCAGTTGATGAAAGCTCAGTGATGATGGTGGGACTGAGAATAGGGACATAAGCTCTAATAAAGCCCCAGGCAAAATCCCTTTTACTCCCTAAACTTAACTCATCAAGTGCAAATTTTTATTCTACTAATTTTTTCAAGCTAGTTGAAATATACCTGCTCACTGAGAACACATTCCTTTTTATAACTGAGCACAATTTGCTACCAAGTGTACTTAGCCGAAACAGATTTTTGTCTTGCCATATAGTCACAATCTAATTATCTAATTATTCTAATTGCCAGGATCCATTTAACCATTTAAGTCCATTTGGGAAGGAAATATCTCTCTTGATCCCATGCTCTGCCATTTGAGGGGGTTTGTTTTATTTGTTTTGATTTGCTAGGGATGTCTGTCTTTTTCTTGTGAGCTTTGAAACCAAGGTAAAGACCTCAGGATCAAAGCTCCTACCCTGAAATAGATCTTCACATCCTAAATGTCTGCTGTGGCTCCACCTCCCCACATCACTGCCGGATCATTGTGCCTTTGCTGCTTTCCCTTTCTTCTCTGCTGGCCAGTCTTCAGTAAGCTTACTGGCTTAGCTTACTTCTCAGTCCCTCTAGCCAGCTGGCATAGCCTACTGTAGCACAAAGAAGTCACCTCAATGGTGCTAGTCAAAGATTTAAGTCACCTTCTTAAAGGTTTATTGTGTGTTTTTTTTTTAAAAATCTATTTTTCATAGGGGAGGAGGGAGGAAGGTGATACTGTACATTTGAGCCATAAAAATAGATGGCAATCAGCAGGCTGTAAAGGTGAGCCTCCTGCAAAGTGTATTCCCTTCCACTTACGACCACGTCCTATTGATCTGCTAAATGAAGATGGGAGGAAAAGAAGTGTTTGAGGGAAAATGAACAAAGAATTGTTCTGTTCTCTGTAGTTACTGCAAAACGGAACATGATTTTTCTTTTCTCTGCACTTATAACTTCTTTCCCTAAATGAAACTAGATTTCTATATCCCATGACTTTTGTCTCTATGGAGGCTGTTTTCTTAATTTTGTGTTTCTCTACCTAGCCTGTAGGTAAAGATAGAGGGGGCTACTTGAAATTTTAGGAGATGCTTTTGGCTTCTGATAGATCTTTGAATTTTATTTTTCTAAGTAGTCAGAGTGGATTGGTTGGTTTCATTTTAATGGATTGCAAAGTAAAAATAAAATGAAACAGCTGAAGTATTAGTAGTTCTCTTTGTATGTTCATTAAGATATTTGTCATTTTCATGGAATAGATTTAAGGATTAAAAGACAACATGAGCTTTAAGAGATGTCCAGGCTTTTAGAAAGTACAATTTATAACTTTAGAATGGGATAAGCATTCTTATCCAAGTGACTTATCTTTAAAATTTTTAGATGGAGGTTGCAAATATATTCTTATAAAACTTTCTATCTTCCATGAACTTTAACAAAATCATTTGTATACTTTACCTGTTTCATTAAAAAAATCAAGTTTCAGCTCTATTCCATTAGTTTGGGTGTAATTAGATGAAACATTCAAAAGAAGGTGCCATTAAAATCCCAGGTAGGATTGACAGGTATCCTTTAACAGGAGAGTGGAGGTTGTACAGATACAAAAGGAATTCTCTCCCTTCTAAGAGCTGCTCAAGATATGGCAGGATATGTTGGGGCTCCACACACAGAGCCACAAATAACATTGGAGTATGTATGTGCCATGTAAAAGATCAGTCCTTGGAAAAATGTCAACATGGACTGAATTTGTTTTCTTCATACTTCTATCTTTTCTATTGCTATTATTTCTTCTCCTTTCTGTGTTTGTTCGGCTCGTGTCCCTTGCTGCTTTCAAACTTCCCTGCTCATGGACTGGCCCTGATCCAGTTGCCCTAACCTCATGGAACTTATATAGGGACTATTTAACATGGAATTTTCATTGGAATATTCCTTTTTCTCCTCAGATTCTATACACTAGGAGTAATTGCTTCTTACATCTAATAAAGAAACATGGCTGAAAGTAGCAAGTAAATGGTTAATACACATAATAGAGGAGAATTTGCTTTAAAACCAAGGACTATAGGGACCATCATGTCTCGATATCAAGGAAAAATACTTAAATGGGAGTGTTTTGGTATATAAGGCTCATGGTGCCAGTTCAGTATACTCAAATCAAAAATCAACTGGCTTTGACCACAGAAGAATTTTACTGGCCAAAGTAAAATAACTAGCTGCACAGAGTAGGTTGGATGTAAGTATATCTAAACCATAGGCAGGTTCAGCTTTTCATGTTAAACGTAAAACTCTTTGGGACAATGGTGGAGACAAACAAAATTTATAGGTATTAATTTTATTAAATAGGCAAAGGTGGGAAGGAAAGAAGAGGTAAGAAAGTAATAATGGCAGTGAAGATGATCAAAGAACATTACATGCATGTATAGAAGTGTCATTATGAAATCCCTCATGTCCTATGATTTAATATAAGTCAAATAGTCTCATGGGTGATTCTTTACAAAGAAAAAGGAAAGGCTGTTTTAGGGTCAGAAGTTGCTTATTAGACACTGGCAGAAGATGTACTGCCCATAAAGAAGGCCACAAAAAAGGAAAAAGATGATGAGGAAGCTAAGTTGCAAGCTGAAAGTTTCCATTCCTTAAGATAGCATGTGCTGTGCCACATTTTACAAAACAACACCCCTCTCAAAGTCACTAAATCCGCCTCCATCTCTCCCTTGCCTTGGCTCATGCATACACTCTGGTCTGCCTCCTAATGGAAATAACCAGCATACCATCTTCTGGATTTCCATTGAGACGTCAGTATATATAGCCTCCATTCTAGACCTCCCTGCTCTTTAGTTCTCAAATGGTTGTCTTTTTAAGCAATTAACCTCAACACAACTATCATTTGTACTTATTAGAAGGAAGTAGAGGAGCAAAGACCCAGAAACACAACAAATCAAAGAAATGGGATTGCATGAAATTGCAGAGCTTCTGCATGGCAAAGGACATAGCTAGCAAGATCAATAGAAAGCCCATAGATTGGGAGAAGATCTCCACTAGCCATACAATGGACAAGGGTCTCATATTTAAAATATACCTGGAACTCAAAAAATTAAATCCCCCAACAACAAATCCTCAAATAAACAACTGCCCAATAAATAAGTGGGCTAAAGACTTAAGGAGAAACTTCTCTGAAAAGGAAAGAGGGATGGCCAATAGACACATGAAGAAATGCTCATAGCCATAAAAGAAATGCAAATCAAAACAACATTGAGAAACCACCTCACCCCAGTTAGAATGGCTATAATCAAGAAATCTAATAACAACAGATGCTGGAGGGGATGTGGCCAGAAGGGAACTTTACTGCATTGTTGCTGGGAGTGTAAACTTGTTCAACCACTTTGGAAAGTAGTATGGAGGTTTCACAAAAGACTCCATATAGAGCTCCCCTATGACCCAGCAATCCCACTTTTGGGCATCTACCCAAATGATCACAAACAAGACCATACTAAAGCTACCAGCACAGCTATGTTTATTGCAGCATTATTTATCATAGCTAAGATACAGAACCAACCCAGATGCCCCTCAGTAGATGAATGGATCAAGAAAATGTGGTATATACACACAATGGAATTCTATGCCTCCATCAGAAAGAATGACATTGCCCTATTTGTTAGGAAATGGAAATACTTGGAAAAATTATATTAAGTGAAGTAAGCCAGGCCCAAAGAAACATAGGTCGCATGGTTTCCCTTATTTAGAATAACTAGTGTATGTCTGAGACAAGCAGAAAAGGTCAGATAAGTTAATGTTAGGTGAAATGAACCCCAAGATAAGGACTCAAATGTTTTTTTTCTTTCTTGTTATTGTTTCTAACATATTTATAAGATATTTCTTTGTTTCTTTGTATGTCCCTCCCCCATGGTATAACCCCTGTTTTCACTGTATTTGATGTTGGTATACTTTGTGGAGGGGAAGGGAAAAAACAAATTGCTTAAAAAGGCATACAGGTGGACCCATTGCAACAATGAGATGTACAAGACGTTATGTTGAAAAAAGAACTTTACAACTTTGGCGGGATGGCGGGCAGGGGGAACAGGATGGGAGGGGGGAGGATGGGAGAGACAGTGGGGGGGAGGGAGATGGGAAGGGATTAAGGGGAAACAAAGGAGGAGGCAACAATGCTTGATAAGAAATGTACTCATTATCTTGCCCATGTCATTGTAATTCCTTCTGTATGGTATTTTCACAATTAAAAAAAAAAAGAATGAGGAGAGGAAATACTGTTGGTAATGATCCCTCAACACTATGTGGGTACCTTGACACTTTTAGACCTTTCATGTGTATATCAACCTGGGAATCTTGTTAAAATAAAGATTCTGATTCAATAGGTCTGTTGCAAGGCCGAAGACTTTATATATCTATCAAGCTTGTAGGTGATACTAAACCTGATGGTCCACAAGTCTAAATTAGGGAGATGATAATCACCAAAGAAAAAGCTTTTTCAGATAAGCTTTTATCCAGGTTTGTAGATGCTCAGCTTCCAAAAAACTTCTGTAAGAGACATATTTTGTTAATTTTTACTCACAGATGTCTCTATGACATTCACAACAATCTTGTGTCCATTTCAGCCAGGTAGGTGTCATAATTTGGTGTCTGATGAGAGCATTTACTTAGAGCTATTTATTTGCTGGGATGTGGAGGAGAAACTAAAAGGCAGGCTGAGAGAGGAGGTAGCTCATGAGTCAGGATGACAGTGTATTGGCTTTTTGCCACATCCCAAAATGTCCCTTTTAGATGCAACTGCTCAAGAGATCTAAGGCTGGCTTGTGGTTCTAACTCCCTTTCCTCTTTGCTTCTGTGGGTCAAGGCATGCCAGAAGGAGACATGTAACATCTGCTTCTCAGTTGTTTGACTTCTCTTAAAACAGGGATAGAAGCAAAAATTCCAACACAACTCAAACCCTAGCTGGTCCCAGAAGAGCCTAAAAACTGACTCCATTTTTAAGGTCTGTGTGAGACACTCACTTATGGGAAATAAAAGAACCAATGTCACTTTCTAACATATCTGAGCTAATAATTACTCTCAGAAAGTCATTAAAAGGTTATCCAGTACTATTTGAAGATGATAAAATGGCACCCAATTCCCCTAAACCATTACCTCCTATAGTCTGTCATTAATCTTTATTTCTACAAATCCATGTGGGTTATTTTAATGAAAACCCATACTAACTTGCATGTGTGCTACTGGAATTGAATGAGTTAAATCCTCATCAGCCACCAATATTTCCAGTTATCACTTACCACCTTGCAAAATTCAGGGCTGTCCAAGACATCTGCTGAAGGAAAGGGGGTACCACGTAGATAGTGGGCACTCAGGACATACTATAGCTACCCTTGAGGATGAGGAAGAGGGCTTGACATATACATTATCTTTTTTAAGCCTTTGTCATTCTCTCTGGGTAAATCGGGGTACTTTATTCATTACGGAATCAATTGCCTTTGACTCTGATTAGTTTTGATCCATCTGGTCACATCCTTCTGATTACAGTAGGTCTGTGCCTGTCCTGACCATGGTTGTTTGCTGTCTGTACTATCTCAACTTTATGATCCTCTAAAGTTACTGTGGAAAAATTTTAGAAATAAATCAGTTTGTGGTGAAGTGAGGTCAGATTTTTTTTAATTTTTTTTTAAAACTTGTGATTTAGGGCTGGGAAGGTGGCTCAGTGGTAGAGTGCTTGCATGCATGAAGCCCTGGGTTCAATTCTTCAGCACCATATAAACAGAAAAAGCTGGAAGTGGTGCTGTGACTCAAGTGGCAGAGTGCTAATCTTGAGGTGAAGAGCTGAGGGACAGAGCCCAGTCAGAGCTCAGGCCCTATGACCCCCCCCCCCACAAAACAACTTGTGATCTAAAATAGTCTCCCTCAGTTATTCATTATTGGCTGACTTACCTTGCCAATTACTCATTGAAACTAAGTTCCTCGTCTTATAGCTACCTAGAAAGGGCTCAGCCTATAAGCAACAGATGACCCAAGAAAAGAGCAAGATGTGTAGGTGGATAAGTATTATGCATCTTGTCTGGGTCTCTGTATGTGAACACTCTTGTAAATATAACATAGAAAGGCTACTGACATTTATAGTCAGCTAGAACTTGTTACAGATTCTCCAATATTCTTTGAGGGGTTGCTTGTTTTATTTTTTATTTTTTGTATGATTTTTAATTGTAAAAAATGCTGTACAGAGAGGTTATAGTTACATGAGCAAGGTAACGAGCACATTTCCTATTGAGCATTGTTGCCTTCTCCTTTGTTTTCTCCCTAACATCTCTTCCCTCCTACCTCCACAAGTACTGCTCCCAGCCAAAGTTGTAAAGTTCGTTTTCAACATAATGTTTTGTACATCTCATTGTTACAATGGGTCAACCTGTATCCTTATTTAAGCATTTTGTTTTTCCCTTCCCCTCCCCGAATTAGAGAAGTATATATATAAGATGCAAAAAATATGGAACATTTCACAAATTTGCATGTCATCATTGTGCAGGGGCCAGGTTAATCTTCTCTGTATCGTTCCAATTTTAGTATATGTGCTGCTGAAGTGAGCAGTCTCCAATATTCTTATATCTAATTTCAAATTCCAAAGCTACTTGTTGATTAGTTTAAAACAGTGTTTCTTGAACTGGACCAGTTGCATTAGAATCAACAGAGATGTTTATTAAATATTAATTTCTGAATCATATCTCAGATGGATTGAATCAGAAAATATAAGATTAAGATGTATAACAAACACTATGGGTGATATTAATGCACATAAAATTGGAGAATCCTGGGTTTAATAAGCCCTGATACCACAATCAGATATGAACATTCAGAATGCAAATCTATTGGACATCCATCAAGATATTGTATCAGATACTTTCATATGTTGTTTCTCTGTGTAAAGGAGATTCTATTGGACCATGCAAGCATTAGTGAGGTGGGCTGTCAGACTAGGAATCTTAAAATTGAAAGAAGTAAGAAAATAGCCTCAGAGTCCCTGAGAAGAAAAAAAAAGCAAAATTATGCTTTCAGATGGAAAGTAAAGACACAGGAATGCTTTTCATTTTAACGTTTCTTCTTTCTTTGCTTGTTAGCTAATGATTGCTATTTAGCTACGTTATAAACTAGATGTCATGGCAAATGCCAGCCCATTCATTAAAAATAGATATGTTATAATCAGTTTATAGGACGTCATTGTACCTTCCAACCCATTATTGCTATCAACAAACTTAAAACCATAGTTGAAGTAATAATAACTACCAAGTAATAACTATTCATTGAAGCTTTACCATTTGGAGCTCACTGTGCCAAATATTTTATATGACTTATGGAGTCATCACAATATTGGTAGAAGGGAGGGCCTCTCATCTTCATTTTATACAAAAGGAATCAGAAATGGTTGAAAATGTATAAACAATTAGCTTAAGGTCCTTCAGCTGGCAATGTTGTAGAACGAAGATTCTACCTCAGAATTTTCTCCCTCTAGAGCCTGACTCAGTTTTAACTGCAGTTGAAATCTTAATTCTAGGACCTAGAAAGATGACATAAATATTGCATTGGAACTGGTATGATTATGGAATAGTGAGGCCTGTGGCAATCTGGATATCTTATGATTCTAGCTCCAAATCTAATTTTTAACCCATTATGACACAAGCAAAACATTTACAATAACAGTACCTGAGGTGACTAGGAGTGGAAAGTGCCTGTTTTTGACCTCTATACTCCCATTTTTGATTGATAGAAGTTCTGTTACTGGTAATTATAACTATGAAGAACAGCCAGGAAAAAGCTTTTCTCAGAAGAAAAGACCTAATTTTGACTTTTTCCTCTTAGTGTATCATCAAGTCATGTCACTTCAGTAGAACTATCTCTCCTGTGCTCCTACAGACAGACATGGTTTCTATAGTAGTTTTCCATGACTAAATGCCAGCTCAATTCTAACTTCTCCCTAGGCAATGCTGAGGCCTACAGCAAGGTCTGAATACTGCCACAAGGTCACTAACAAGTGCTGAACTCAGAAGAGGTACTTCTGACTGGGCTGGCTTTGGGGAAACAGCTTAGATGCTGATGCATGCAAACTCCAAGCTCACAAATGGGAGGTCACTGAATGAAGCAGGAATCTAAACACCCAGTGTAGGAGCTTCCCATATACTCCAAGAGGCTCATCAAGTTTAGGCTAAGGTCTAAAACAGAGAAGTATAGTTATGTGTGTAGAGTTTAAAATGACATAAACTAAGTTGGCCCTTAACAATCATTAGGCTCTCTTTCTTAGCTATCAGTAGTCTTCTATGTTGAAGTGAGGGCTATAGGTCTTGCCACAATCTCATTACTTGGCACAAAAGGAAGCCACAAACAAAATTCAATAAATAACACTGAACAACTATAAAACAATTGGACAGTCTATTCTGTAGGCTCAGTAAAGTTCAGTGTCCTGCCCTTTTAGGTGTTCCAACAGTAGTTTGTATGTGGGTTCACCTGAGGCAGAGAAGAAAACATTCTAGTGGCATGATTAAGCTACCCAAGAACCTGTCTTTCCACAGTGTAATTTACAAGTAGAGCCTAATGGTGCATTTCTAAAGGATAATATTCCAAATCTTATTAGATACCACCTATGTCTTCTTTCTCCTAGTGTTCTTGTGAATACTTCTATAACATGTCTATCCAGTGCCCAGATGTATAATACCATTAATTTCACCCATGAGAAAACCAGTGTTAACTAGCAAAGCCTCTGGTATTTGTTGGTGATAAACTCCTGGAGTGCTTATATAAAGACTTCTTGATTTGAAGTTTATGAATGCTAGATAACCATTTCTGTACTATGCTTTTCCCAATGAGGGTAATTGGCCACATACAGGCTGTTGATTAAGACTAATCTGCTCACATATTTACTGTGATTTATGTTGAATCCCAATAAATTTCAAAAACTAGAACATTTGTGATATCACATTTCTATGACTGGGGAAAATAGTAAAACCTATAGTGGAAATGGATTTTTTTAATTTTTATTGTAAAGGTGATGTATAGAGGGGTTACAGTTATGTAAGTCAGGTAGTACGCACATTTCCTTTTGAATAGTGTCACCTCTTCCCTCACTTTCAGGTTTCCCTCCTGAACTCACCCTCCATGACAATTTGCATAGTTCATTTTCAACACAGTGATTGTTTAAATGAGCAATGGTCCGGGTATTAGGAGATTTGTGTTCTAGTCTCAGCTCTGGCACCAACTGTCTGGTTGAACTTGGACAAGTCTGTCTGCCTCTGCTTCCACTCTAAATTACTTATAAAGTGTGGAGATTCTTCTGAATGATCTCTAGGACTTCTATCTTTGAAATCTTATTATGAATTCATATCCAGTTCTTGTCATCTTATTGAAGTCAGTGCCTTGTGCTTTCTAGGTTAGGTGATCTGCCACTTGAGCCTCACATATCTCCAGCTTTTACTTCACTTCTTAAATGAGAGAAGACCACAAAAATGGAGCCACTTAAGTGATTCTATATCCACATATTTTTATGCATGTTCATCTATTTTTTTGTTTCTATGAGATTTTACAATGAAACTATTGGGCAAGTTATGGTTTTTCTTTGTTCATTCCATTTCTTCAATACTACTTGTGATAATTTTGGCAAGTTACTTGGCTTCATTGTACATAATCCACAAAGCCACATAAAATATTTACAATAGTGGCTGACACATATTGAATATTATTATGAGTACCATCATTAGTTCAAAACATTTTGAGATTTGAGTCCTAAAAACTGAAATTTACTTTCATTTCAAAAATGAAATCTCTTGTCACTTTAGGAATTCAATTTCCTTCCTGAACAGCTGTTCTGTGGAGCCTTTGTACAGTTTTCAGTTCTTCATCAAACCCAAGATTAGTTTTTTTCTGCCAAGAAAGGCATCACAACACCCCTTCAAATTTCCAGCACATCAGTCTAACATCAAACATCTCCCACTCATGCACCCAAGTTTTCAGCAGGAAATTGAACTGCATATTTATGTATATTCTAAAAGCCAAAGTATTCCAGGGAAGAGCTCATCTATTCATTCCTGGCCATGAGTTTTGTACCTTACTCTTAGAGCAAAGGGACATTGTTTAACCCCTGCTTGGCAGAAAAATGTCTCCCACTTAATTTGGAAAGTATTCAAATGTCAATGAGAGGCTCTAAATTGGACTGCCTGAATTTGAATCTTGACTGCTTTATTAGTCATATGGTCTTGGATAAATTACTAATCCTCTCTGAGACTCACTTCCTCATCTGTGAAATAAGGATGCATGTAATAGTAACTACCTTCTAAGATTGTAAAGATTAAAGTGGATCATCAACATGATGCATGCTACAGTAAGTATTCAGCAAATGGTAGTTATTATAAACACAGAGTAGTGCAGTATATGCTAAATGAAGAAGGTAATTAGTCCAAATCAAGGTGTGGAAGGAATTCTTTACAATTCTGGCCATTCTGAAACCTCTGCAAACCAACTTGTATATTTGTGAATCTACTCACAATATTACCTTGGGCATAAGAAGTTTGGTTTAGGTGGAAAAAAAACAGAAAAAAAATGTGATATCTGAAAAATCCAAAGCATTTTCACTATTAGGCATAATCACATCACTATTAAATAGAATTGTCTAGGAAATAATCCTTTCTTACATTTTTTCCCAGAATTAGACATGATTTTATTACTATCTATGCTGTTTTGGTGGATAAAGCAGTATGGGGATAGTAATATGATAACCTTGGCAATTACTGCCTTAAAGGAAAGAATAATCTTTCTTTCTTCAAATGTAAAGTCTTTTAATATGTTTAAAGTGGGAGAGTGCAAAAATGCATCTTCACTCAGACAAGGAAAAAAAATGAACTGCCAATTGAGCTTTCCCAGATATGGTTTTTCATGAGTTCTTTAATTGTGGGTGATGGGTAGAGGGAAGTCTAGAGAATATCTGTTTGAGTAGATGGATTTTCTCCTTTTGATGGTTCTTGCCTGAGTCAGACTGAAAATAGCAAAGGAAAGTGATATAGAAAAGGTTAAAAGAAAAATTTTGCTAATGTAATTTTCCACATTTCAGTCTCAATTCTCTCCAGAACAAAGGTTAACTAGTTGATTCCACAGCATAGATTCACTAGAAAGGAGCCTGCTGAGGAGTACCAGACAATGCTGACTTGTTTTCTCCTCTCTCTTCCTTCTGTAATCTAGTGCTATTCTAACAGCTGCTCTCCCCAGCAGGCTGACACCTGGGTGATGACCAAAGGCAACTATGTTTTTGCTTCATTTCCAGTATACCCATGCTCTACCATCTATTTCATTCCTACCCAAGAACACGTGTGTGTGTAAGTATGTGTGTGTGTGTGTGTGTCTGTGTCTGTGTGTGTGTTGTGGATCTTTTATTTTTCAGATGAGGTAACTGAGGAACAGAATAGCTATGTGATTATCCCAAAGGCGTACTGCTAGTTAATAGTTGAGTTAGGACTGTAATGTGTGTCTTCTAACTCTTGTCACTTCTCTATGACATCTTTCCAACACAATCCTCTTCTCTTGGCTTTCACTGCTGCACAGTGATATTCTATGTGAAAATGACAACTCTGCCAGTTCTAAATAGGTGGCAAAGGAGAAGAATAAATTCACAGCAAGTGAATTGGAAATGCAGGAATTCAGGGCCATGGTTAATGGTATCTTTCATTTAGTGCCCCCAGTGTTAACCTGCTATCATGTTAGCCCCCTCTGATTTATAGTAGAGAGTACAAAAAAACAACTGAAGTTCAGTTGTAAATCACATACTTTTGGAGCAATATCAAATATTTCTAGTCCAACAACCTCATTTTATAGATGAAGAAAGTGAGGACCAGAAAGAAGAGACTTGCCAAAGATGATGCAACTCCCTACTGGTAGAAGCAAGATAGGACCAGACTGCTAGATTCCCAAAGTAGGGTCATTCCTACCATGTTTTGCAGCCTAAGCAGAGAAAACTAGTCAAGCAATGCTATAGGTTTGACTGTGTTACGATTTTCGATAATGTTTTTCTCTAATTGTTTGATGTGTATAAGCCATATCACTCCAGTTTGATTTTTTAAATATAGGAAACATCTTTTCATGATTATAGAAAGTTAAGTGCAAAATTAATTCTTGCTTTCTGTAATTAATAAAAATGTCTTTAGAAATACTGATAAAATCATCTAAGAAAAGTAAATGTCATGCAAAATAAGGCTTTTCAGTACTTTTAGGTTTATATGATTTCCTCTTTATATTATATTGGGAATATTTTTCCAGACCCTTAAACTTTCTTTGAAGTTTGACTTTTTATCATTTATGCATTATTAAAACACAGTTATTTATGATATATTTATATATAAACAATTATCCTGTGTATATATAAACATACATTTATAAATATGTAAAACTATTATATATATATATATTTTTTTTCTATTTAGGTAGCTTGACAGTTTACCAAAGTTTACAGTTACTTCTCAACTTCCTGTAAAATCTACTTCACTTGCTTTAGACTTTTGAAATGATTATATTTCTCCCACCAGATATGGCAAGAAAAATGAGAAATTAACCTTTCATCCTCTTTAGGATACATGTCCTAGCTAGATGTGGCAGTACAGTCATAATCACAGCACTCAGGACCTGGAGGTAAGACGATTGCTAGCTCAAGGTCACTCTGGCTACATATTTGGACCATGTTTCAAAAATACAAAATAAAATGAAATATGATACATGTTTTACAGCTTAGAACAGGTAGTATAGAAATAATGGTTATGCTTAGAAACCAAATTCTCTGGGTTTAAATTTTGGAGCCATTTATTTCTGGTTGTACAGCTATACATAAGCATCTTAACATCTCCAAGCAAACAGTAAAGAAATAGTTTTTTCATTATTATATTTGCCAAAGGAAAAGTGCGCTAGAGTTAAAGTCATAAAACCTAGGCTCTTTTTTCAGTCTCTATTGTCATCTAGCTCTATGACCTTGCATGAGTTATTTTAAGTTTAAGCCTTCAGTTTCTCCAGTCTATCAAAAATAAGGATAATAGTGCCTGATCTGCGTACTTTACATGAATCAAAGGAGAGGATGCATGTCAAAGTACCTTGAAAACTACACGGTATGGTTGTTAAATATGTAAAGTTAGATGCAATATATGATTCTTATATGGCAGGAAAGGAAAAGTAGGTGGTATATACTGAGCCTTAGAAGATGTTTTTAAAGAAATTGTCTTGTTACAGACAGAAAAAAAAAACCATTAGAAATCATCTAGTCCAACCTCTTAATATTATATAAAAGAAAAGCGATCCAAAGAGGAGAGAGTTCAAAGTATAGAGTCAATTATAGAAATAGGAGAATGCAGTTCTTCCGATTTCCCAAACACAATCCTAAAACAATCACTACAACATTTAATTAGTTAACTTTTGTTGAGAAAAAGAGTAAAGGAAAAATGGCTAGTTATTTGTGAAATCCATGTAAGTAGGGAACGATTAACTGGGGTTTATTGCAAGGATAAGCAAACTATAGCATAACTCTGTTATATTTTTAAATGCTAGTTTCCCAAATGAGACAGAGCAAGGAAGCAGAAAGATTATAGGGGGAGTGAGGCAGGTGGTGGAGAATGCCTCTGGACCTGACCAGATTCTGAAGACACTTCTTATTGTCCCCAGCAATGACCACTGCAGCAGAAGGCTTTCTTTGATTATTAATATTTATCTTATCAGCCAGGCCTCAGTTATGTGCTTTTGGGAAACTTGGTAAAGTGGATGAAATTGCCAGTTGCTTGAAAATACAATTGCCAATTGTTTGAATGGAGTAAATTGATTACAGCCAGAGGACTATTCATTTTATCCTGGCATGCATGCAGAACACGTCAGTGAAGGGCTGCATTGCTGATGGCAGCTCCAAAATCGCCGCATTCCCTGAATTATATCACTCTAGGTACTCGGTAAATATGTGTTGGATTCTTTCATCTTTACGTTAGTTATTTTAGCTGAGATGAGAGCACATAAATGCTTCCGCCTGACAACCTTTTCAAGTTCAACGGCATAAAAGGTTATTTTTAAAAGAATCAAGAAAGGAGTTTTTCGAAAGCAGGCTCTAAAGGTAACTAAAACTGCCATCTAATAAGGCAGCCCATTAATAAATGTACCAAGAAATGTACTACTGAGATATTTCCAACTGAATTCTCATTGTTTTTAGCACTGGAATTTTGGCTACCTTCACCAGCTGCCACTGCAGCCTGGTCACCATCCCTCCAGATTTACCCCTATTCCAATCCTGAAGTGCCCCTTTCTGCCTTTTACGTGAATATCACCCTATTGCCAGAGGCCATTCCCATAGCTCCTGCCAATAGGGACAATGAGCCTTGGCTAGGAAACTTTGTATAAAAGCAGAGTTGTCTCTTCTGCTGCAGAGATCTCAGGCTGCTGTGCCTAAAACGGTCACCAGGTGGGGGCCACATAAACTCAGGCCTCTTGTATCTGGAGGAATTGTCTGGTACCTCCACAGTAGAAAGAAAAGGAAAATGACCCTGTTTACCAAGCCCTGGCCACAAGGGGCTCCCTTCTGAAGGCTCAAATGTAACACATTTCAAGCCAAATTCAAGCCTACTTTGGGAAGTAAATATATGGAATCCCTTAGCCCAGAGTTGGTGCCAGCTGAAAACAAATGCTGTAATAGAATATTCAACATATCCAAGACTGGTAAGGCAGTGATAAGTTATTAAGGGAAATTAAGTTATTTGGGAATTTGTTTAATGCCTAAGCTCAAAAATCAGTAAAGACAACCAGATCTTCTGACAGCCTCTGTGAAATAAGTCCTGAATATATGTGTGTGTGTGTGTGTGTGTGTGTGTGTGTGTGTGTGTGTGTGTGTACATGGTCTCAGAATTGTGATTGTGTTTTCCAACTTCTAGTAGCAGGAAACTTAAATGTATTATTTAATGTTGGTTGACTAAAACTGAGTTGCTAAAATCTCATGGTTCCTCACAGTGAAATTCTTGTCCACGGAAGACAAGGTTATGGAAGACCATGGTATAAAATCCCCTTCTTGCTGCACTCCTACAAACTAGCTATGTGGCCATCATGTCTTTATATTTCACATTTTCCAATTTGTAAATTAAGAACATTACAGTAGCTGACTTCTAAGGTTCTTCAACTACATTCAACACAGATGATATTATAGGGTTCCTTGGAAAGCTTGAGTGGTGTGTGGAGTCCAGGTCTCCTCCTTTTCTTACTCCCACTTATTTGAAAGCTCATGGACTTTGTGAATTTCAGAAAATGTTCTGTACTCCACCAAAACATCTCAGGCAAGCCTGGCATCTATGGCCAGAGGTAAATGCTTGGTAACTTATATTCAATGACCTCTTCCTCTCCCCGTCCCCCAAGCTCTCAACAAGAGTTTTTTTTTTCTCAGTATAGTAGGACATTTTAGGGTTCTATAAATTAGAGGCAGTATTATGTAAATTTAAAGATAGAGTTGACTTGGGTTAGAATTCTAGATTTGCCAGTTCTAACTGTGACTTCAGATTCCACATCAGTGATGTAACAGACACAATGCTGTCTTCCTTCTAGGGCAATTGTTAGGATTTGATGAGGACATCTTGATCAGATGGTCAGCAAAAACCTGGTACAACTAATTCTGCTACCAGCGAACACTGTTCTCTCTTCTCCATTAAACAGATGTTGAGCTCAAAATCAAAACCAATAAACCAATAAATGCTGAGCAATACCATAATTTTTAAGCAGAAGCTAATGATTTGGCTTTTCAAGGCTTCATGTCTGGTCTTGGTAATGACATGTTCACATTTTGTCAGTGACCTTCTGGAATCTGCAGAACATTAACAGAACTGTTTCTAGTTAAAGTGACATTGGGTAACCCTTCAAATCATATTAACTTACATGAATGCTACTTCCCATGTATCTCAGTATTTAGAATCCTACAGTATGACTGACAGAGAGGATAGTTCCCCAAAGTGACTTCTTGCTGTGGTTCATTCACTCACAACGCTGAACAATAATTTATCCTTAAAGCTAAACTCTGAGCTGGGTGCTAGTGGATGATGCCTATAATCCTAGGTACTTAGAAGGCTGAGATCTGGAGATCACCGCTCAAAGCCAGCCTAAGCAGGAAAATTTGTGAAACTTTTATATCCAATTAACCCCGAAAAAGCCACAAGGGAAGCTGTGGCTCAAGTGGTAGAACACTAGCCTTGAGCTAAAAAGCTCAAAAACAGTGTCTAGGCCCTGAGTTCAAGCCCTACAACAAAGATACACACACACACACAAAGATAAAGTCTGAAATTCTAAGGTCAGTGATATTGTCAGTCTCCAACATTCTTGAGTTCCCTTTAGTCCAAAGAATGAAGTTCAGCCTGGGTATGCAAAGCCTGTAGTTTTCAGGGTTAAGCCTAACCCATTTGAGAAAGAGGAAGTTTTGCCTTATGGAGATCAAATGAAGAGATAAAGCTGAAAAGACAATCAGATGATAGAACTGAAAAAACCAGGTTAATCAAGAAACATTGATTTGCCCCTCATGTTCCGCTATATCAGAGTGTGCTTGGGAATTGAGTCAGGGGGAGTGGGAATGGTTATTATGAAGAATCTTTTTCTGGAACTCTTATGTACATTTTGCACAGGATTTCTAAAAATGATTTCTCATTTGGCTTTTTTAAGAAGCACTCAATCTTTGTTCAATCCAGTAATTAATGGATTTTGGTGTGACCAAAAGTAAACCCAAAGAGTTACAATGCTTGATAAGAAATGTACTCATTACCTTGCTCATGTAACTGTAACCCCTCTGTACAGTATTTTAAAAATAAAAAAATATTTAAAAAAATAGATCAGGTGGAGCTGGGAAGGTTGCTCAGTGGTAGAGTGCTTGCCTTGCATGCCTGAGGCCCTGGGTTCAATTCCTCAGTACCACATAAGCAAAAAAGAAAAAAGCCAGAAGTGGAACTGTGGCTCAAGTGGTAGAGCGCTGGCCTTGAGCTGAAGAGCTGAGGGACAGAGCCCAGGCCCAGAGTTCAAGCTCCATGACCGGACCCCCCCAAAAAAATAGATCAGGTAAGGAAATAGAGAGATAGAGATGATCCTTAAAAGTGAAGACCAGCTTTAGGATGAGGAAATGTGAGAGAAATGATGACCTCTACTGACTGCTCACACTGTGCAGACAGCATCTCTGGTTTAAAAAGCTTCATATTATTAGTATAATAAAATAATCAAGTTATAAGGAGGAAAGGTCTATTTTGAGCTGATTTTGTGTGTGTGTGTGTGTGTGTGTGTGTGTGTGTGTGTGTGTGTGTGTGCACAAGCATGCCAGTACTGAGGCTTAAACTCCAGGCGTGGTCACTGTTCCTTAATTTTTTTCACTAAGGCTAGCACTCTACCACTTGAGCCACAGCTCCACCTCCAGCTTTTTGACGTCTAATTGAAGATAAGAATCTGAGAAACCTTCCTGCCTAAATTGGCTTTGAATCACAATCCTCAGATCTCAGCCTCCTGAAGAATTAGGCTTATAATTGTGAGCTATCTGTACCCAGCACCACTTTATTTTACTCACAGTTTCAGATGTGTTACTCTATGATTGTTTGTTCTTATCACTTTGGGTGCATGACAGCACACGACTTCATGGTGGGAGCATGTGCAGAGAAGGCCTGTCAACCTAATGGCAGGCAGAAAGTAGAGGTAGATAGGAAAGCACTGGATTCCTCAAATTTCTTTCAAGGGCATGTCCTCAATAACATGCCTTTCTCCAACTAGACTCAGCTCCTGTTCAATGTTCTACCTCCTAATAATGTCATAGGCTTGGGGCCAAGCCTTCAAGGCAGGGGCCTTTGGGAGCTATTCAAGATACAAATTATAAAAATGTGCAAAGGAAGGCTAATTGAAAATCTATTATGCAAACCTATAGGCATGGCTCAAATGGTAGAACACCTACCTAGCAAGTGAGAGATCCTGAATTCAAACCATAGTATGAACAGAAAAAGAGAACTTTTTAGTTATGTAATAATATACATAAAAGAGATATTAATCCTATGCATCCATTTTACAAAAAATCAGTTGTAGAGAAGTTAATGTTCTGTTTCCAGTAAATAACAGATATAGGACCCATATCTAAGTCTAATTTTGTGATTGTTCATTCACCATACTGGATCCATTTAACTAACTTTGTAAGGGAATATATGGCTCTGTCAAAGCTAATTTTCCACATAACCAAAGCACACATCTTTGAGTAGTACAAGTGCTATTTTAATTTTAACTATTTTTGATGAAAAACTTTCTATAATGCATCACATACCTTATTATGCCAAAGCAACAGATTACAGTGCTTTTAATCTTCTATTTTCACAGCCTTCTATCTCTTCATTCTCTGTGACTGACACTGTTCAATACTTCCTAAGTTACTGAAGATAGCATATTTGACATGGGGTGCTCCTAAAAGCAGATGTACTGAAATATGACAGACTACAGTGAGAGAACAATATGCAGAATCACCAACTACAAATGGCAAGCAGTCTGGTGCTATTTAATATAGGGGCAAATAAAACCAAGAAGCCAAATAGCCTAACAAATAACAAAATTGAAATTTCCAGTAAAGACTCAGAAATATCAATAGAAAACTGGTACACCATGGAAAAGGTGATAGGAGCAGTCCACCCCTTGCTGGGAAGAATATTTTTTCCACTGATATTGTTTAGAACTGCATATACACAGCGAAAATAAAAAAGCAGACTTCTAGAAGGTATGTCGTTGCTTTTATATTCACCAGAGAAGATACGTTTTTGGGTAATGTTTGCACCTGAAGAGACTGCTCCCACCCCTACCTTGGTATGCCAGTGTTTTACTGTGTTTCAAAGGTGATGGGGGCCCATTTTAGAACTATTTCTATCTCAACTGCTGTGTCTAAAGGGGTGAATCTTCACTGATCTGGAAAACATATCCCATGTGACATGCATGGCAAATTATTGTGTGTTTAGCCTGTCACTTCTCTTTTCCTTGTCCCAGCTGTAATTTCAAAGAAAAAAATTGCTACAAGCAAACCTTCCCCCAATTGCCAGCCTATTGGCTTGCTTCAAGTACTTGGATCTTTTCAAATTCCAATCAGAATGGGCTGTGCTTTGCCTTCTCCATCTCTGTCTCCTCTGACCCAGCAAAGTTTCCCATATTTCATCCTGTCACTTAGCTAATGGTGTGTGTCCCTCCTGCATACATTCTATAGTCACCGGCTCCTTTCACTAGTGGAGTCGTCAGCGAGCTGCTCGGCAGATGGCTCACTGGCTGCCGTTCTTGTCCCCTCACTGCAGCAATCTGTTGTTCTAAATCAAAATGTTAATGAAAAATAAAAGAACGCAGTGCCAATGTCTGTCTGATTTAAATTAATATAG